AAAAAGGAAAAAAAAGAAAAAGAAAAGAGTGCATCCCAGAAAAACCTGAAATAAGAAACCAACTCCTTGGTCCTCACCTCTTTTAGCCTTATCAGACACCAGGAAGGAACACCACACATTCCATTTTAGCGGCTGCAGCTAAACTGACTACAGTGAGCAACCTGTTGGAGGTCCCTACTCAGGGAGCTGAAGGCAAGTGTGTTTTGTGTTTTGGGCCCAGCACAGGGAACATGTAAAAAGTGCAAGAGCAAACTGGATTCACTGCTGCCTTTTATGCACTCTGTGAGGAAAAGGACATTCTCAACCGCACTGTATGGGACAGCTGCCTTACAAGTAGTAAAGAACCAAGCCTTTCTGTGTGTCTTCTTACTGCCATGTATCAGAATTTCTGTTTCTGGGACCAGGCACAGTGGCTCATGCCTGTAATCCCAGCACTTTGGGAGGCTGAGGTGGGCAGATCACCTGAGGTCAGGAGTTCGAGACCAACCTGGCTAACACGGTGAAACCTAGTCTCTACTAAAATTATAAAAATTAGCTGGGCATAGTGGCGCATACCTGTAATTCCAGCTATTTGGGTGGCTGAGGCACAAGAGTCATGTGAACCCAGGAGGCAGAGGTTGCAGTGAGCCGAGATCATGCCACTGCACTCCAGCCTGGGTGACAGAGTGAGACTCTGCCTCAAAAAAAGAATTTCTGGGATTATGGAAGATCAGGGAAATGAACCAAATATCTTTTAGGACAAGGGACAGTAAGGCCCCTTCAGACAACCTAGATGGACCCCGCCTTCTCTGGTTTCTGTTTGGTGCTAGGGAAGACATTTTCTCAAGGGCTTCTAGGTCAGACATACTCTGTGAAGGAAAGACTGTGCTTGGGGGAAGGATGTCCATTGGAATGTCAGCAACAATTTTAGCTTACCTTCCCACCATGACAGATTTCATACCCTTCGGGCTTACATTCATGAGACCTGATGATCATCTTCAACTGGAATTTATTAAGAATCTTGGAAGTAATATCTGGTCCAAAATAGCAGCCCCCTCCTCGACCCGTATTTGGAAAACAGCCTTTTTTGCCTCTGGGATCACTCCACAGAATATCAATAACCTTGGAACAAGAAACCAGATTTGGCTATAACTTACAAATGAGAGTATATCTTTCTAGATTCCAACTTATTTGCCAGAAATATTAACCCAAGGTATCCCAAAGTACTTCTCATTCTTCCTTAAAAATTGTTTCAGGCTTGGCATGGTGGCTCACATCTGTAATCCCAGCACTTTGGGAGGCCAGGGTGGGAGGATTACTTGAGGCCAGGAGTTCAACCCCACCCCGGGCAACATGGTGAGACTTCATCTCTACAAAAAATACAAAACTTAGGCGGGCATGGTGGTACATGCCTGTAGTCTCAGCTAGCAGGGAGATGAGCTGGGAGCATCGCTTGAGCCTGGGAGGTCAAGGCTGCAGTGAGCCATGATCACTCCACTGCACTCCAGCCTGGGTGACAGATGGAGACCCTGTCTCAAAAAAAACCAAAAACCAAAAAACAGCACTGTTTCATACTCATCTCCTCCATAAACAGTCAATACAGCAATAGCAATAACCAAGAATCAGCTCTTGTCCCCCGCTTTAAAAATTCCATCACAATTGTTTGACAATTGTGGAAGCTACAAGGTTCTCTTCTCTTAAAAGAACTTAATTGCCATGCTGGGTGCGGTGGCTAATTCCTGTAATCACAGTACTTTGGGAGGCAAAGATTGGCAGACCACGAGGTCAAAACTTTGAGACGGGCCTGACCAACATGGTGAAACCCCATCTCTACTAAAAATACAAAGAATTAGCCAGGCGTGGTAGCACACGTCTGCAATCCCTGCTACTTAGGAGGCTGAGGCAGGAGAATTGTTTGAACCCAGGAGGCAGAGGTTGCAGTGAGCCGAAATCGCGCTATTGTACTCCAGCCTGGGCAACCAAGACTCGATCTCAAAATGAATAAATAAATAAATAAATAAATAAGAACTTCACTGTCACATTCAGGGGAGAAATTAACTCTCCACAATGACCACACATTAGAAGTGTCTTAACATATTCAAAGAGGTAAGGTAGAGCTCCTGCTGTGGCTCAGCCAGATTTTTGTCCACTCAAGCACAAGCCTGAGGAAGCCCTTGCTGTTTCCCAACACAAATGTGGAAACCTGTTCATCTGAGGGTGTCTCCTAAAGCATCTCCTTCACCTTTTGCCCCCTCCATGATAAGTGCATTCTCAGCTTCAGCAATACATTTAGCAACTGACTAGTTTCCACAATGTGTTCTAAATCCACAAGTGTTGTATTAGTGTAACATTTCCTTTGGGGCCCCGGAGAGGCAAATGCAGGTGACATGATGTCCAGGACTAAAGATCCAAATTTTTAAGAACATTTTTCTGCCACCATATTACAGTGGCTTATGCCTGTAATCCCAGCACTTTCGGAGCTGAGTCACGAGGATTACTTGAGCCCAGGAGTTCAAGAGCAGCCTGGGTAAACATGGCGAAACCCTATCTCTACAAAAAATTAAAAAATAAACATTAGCCAGGTGTGGTGGTGCACACATGTGTTCCCAGCTACTTGGGAGGCTGAGGTGAGAGGACTGCTTGAGCCCAGGATGTTGAGGCTGCAGTGAGCCATGTTCATGCCACTGCACTGCAGCCTGGGTAACAGAGCAAGACACCATCTCAAAAAAAAAAAACCAAAATAATATTTTTCATAAAAATTGGAAGCTTCCTCTTTGTGGTTCTCATTTATCTGTAATGTTTCTTCTTTTATTTTTTGTGACAGAGTCTCGCTCTGTCGCCCAGACTGGAGTGCAGTGGCATGATCTCAGCTCACTGCAACCTCTCCCTCCCAGGTTCAAGTGGTTTTCCTGCCTCAGCCTCCCAAATAGCTGTGATTGAAAAGGCGTGCTACAATTGGCAACAAAAGCCAAAATAGACAAATGGGACCTAATCAAACTCCACAGCTTCTGCACAGCAAAAGAAACAGTCATTAGAGTGAATCAGCAACCAACAGAATGGGAAAATTTTTTTGTAATGTACCCATCCAACAAAGGGCTGATATCTAGAATCTACAAAGAACTAAAACAGATTTACAAGAAAAAAACAAACAAGCCCATTCAAAAGTGGGCAAAGGACATGAACAGACACTTTACAAAAGAAGACATACATGAGGCCAACAAATATGAAAAAATGCTCATCATCGCTGGTCATTAGAGAAACGCAAATCAAAACTACATTGAGATACCATCTCACGCCAGTTAGAATGGCGATCATTAAAAAATCTGGAGACAACAGATGCTGGAGAGGATGTGGAGAAATAGGAGCACTTTTACACTGTTGGTGGGAGTGTAAATTAGTTCAACCATTGTGGAAGACAGTGTGGCGATTCCTCAAGGACCTAGAAATAGAAATTCCATTTGACCCAGCAATCCCATTACTGGGTATATATCTAAAGGATTATCAATTGTTCTACTATAAGGACACATGCACCCGAATGTTCATTGCAGCACTGTTTACAATAGCAAAGACCTGGAACCAACCCAAATGCCCATCGATGATAGACTGGACAGGGAAAATGTGGCACATATACACCATGGAATACTATGCAGCCCATAAAAAACGATGAGTTCGTGTCCTTTGTAGGGACATGGATGAACCTGGAAATCATCATTCTCAGCAAACTGACACAAGAACAGAAAATCAAACACTGCATGTTCTCACTCATAGGTGGGTGTGGAACAATGAGAACACATGGACACAGGGAGGGGAGCATCACACACTGGGGTCTGCTGGGGGGAAATAGGGGAGGGACAGTGGGGGGTGGAGAGTTGGGGAAAGATAGTATGGGGAGAAATGCCAGATATAGGTGATGGGGAGGAAGGCAGCACATCACACTGTCATGTGTGTACCTATGCAACAATCTTGCATGTACCCCGAAACCTAAAATGCAATAAAAAAAATAATAAATAATAAAAATAATAAAAACAAAAAGAAAAGAAAAAGAAAAAGCGTGCTACAACACCTAGCTAATTTTTTGTACTTTTGGTAGAGACAGGGTTTCACATGGTGGCCAGGCTGGTCTCGAACTCCTGACCTCAGGTGATCCTCCCACCTGGGCCTCCCAAAGTGCTGGCATTACAGATGTGAGCCACCACACCAGGCTTTAATGTTTCTTTATTGAAACTTCTGTAAGAGCTAAAAGAGTAGTGAGAGAAACTCTCTCTGCCATTAAAGTTATGCTACCTTGAAAATCTTCTCTGGGTCTCACTTTTGAGATCTTTAGAACCAGGCATTTGGGCCAGCTGACCTGTAAAGTACCTAAAAGTTCTAACAGACTGATTCTAACGGTCTATATTTTCCACGTTTCTTTTGAGTGCATGAAAAAGCACGCATGTGAAGTTGTGCCATTATTCTAGTGGGTCCTACTCAGGTCGGAGAAGAGGACCAGAAACTGCTGCACATGATTGTATGCCCATTTATAAGACTGGTATGGAAGAGGAGCTAGAAATAAGTGAGGAAAAGGGCAGTGAGGTGGAGAGGAGAGCAGAACTGGCAGGAGAGCTATCCTGGAATGGTAAGCACCTGGTCAGAGCTAGAGAAAAGAGAAACCTTGCACAGGCCCCGCATCAGATACCTGCAGAGCTTTTGATGATTGAAGTGACAGTTAAAACCACCCAAAGAAGGGTCAGCCCAGGGGGCTCCTTTCTCCCCACTGAATTCAAAATTAGCACAACCCTACTCTATGAATAAATATGATGGAACCCCTTTACTTTGCTGGTGTTTATGACAAAAATCACACATGCATTTTAAACTGAGTCAAATCTGGCTCTTACAACATGATGTCATGTTTGAGGGACATGGTTTGACCTGTAATATAATGATGGACGGAATATGGAAATCAAGGCATTGTGCTTTATTAGGAGGGGATTAAGTTTTCAATTTCTACATGGGATGCAAATCATTTATAGCCAAAATTACCCCTAGGAAACCTCTTAAGTTACACTTAATGTATACAGTCACCCCTCAGTATCCAAGGGGGACTGGTTCCAGGACCACCTCCTACATCCAGGATGCTAAAGTCTGTGGATGCTTAAGTCCCTTGTATAAAATGGCATAGTATTTGCATATAACCCACACACATCCTCCTGTCTACAAACTGTCCCTGATTTTCAGTTTCACAATGGTGCAAAAGCAACCAGCATTCAATAAGCTCCTTGACATGATGGAATCATGTCCAGATAAACCCATAAGTCAAAGAGCATGTGTACTTTAAATCACCTCTAGATTACTTATAATGCCTACTATAATGCAAGTGCTATGTAAATAGTTGTTATACCATATTTTAAAATTTATATTATATTGTATTGTTATATTGTTTTCTTGGGTTTTTTTTCCAAATATTTTCAATCTGTGGTTGGTTGAATCCACAACGCAGAATGCGTGGATATGGAGGGTTGACTGTACATGATTGTATGTATACAACCCTATACAATCATATGGATATGTGTACTGCATTGGTTTAAAGGACATGTGTAAAGAAAACAAAACAAACAAAAAAAACAATCATATGGATACGTGAATATTTTATATATGTGATAAACTATATGAAAATAAAATTTTCTAGTATTTTTCTCCTTTTTTGCCATATGCAATAATTGAAATTTACAGAAATTCAATGTATGTATGATGGGACTCTGTTAAACTACAATAAGCACTGGCCAAGGAGTTCGCACTTTAAGTAATTACCCAAGTCACCTTGGTCAAATTGCTTAACACATTCAGGCCTTAGTCATCATCAAAGAAATGAGGAAGAGATATCTAACACTCATTTTTATTTGATTCTAAGTCATAAGGCGTAACAGTTTTTAAGAACTGAGCTTGTCCTTCAGAATGTATTCCATGAGTTCTGGATTTCTTTTTTCTGTCTAGAAATCATTTACTTGGCTAGGTTTACCTAGATCGTAGTGGTACTGCAGGATTAATTCCAAATCTCACAAACGTGCATAAAGGCCCCTTTGTTGGTCAAACAAATTCCTCAGTAGAAACCATCTCTTTCATCTCAGCTACACATTATCCTCTGA